TAGTCAGAGAACGGAGGAGGTGCAACAGCAAGGGCCGAGGGAGGAGGGGACGGGAGGAGGGGAGGACGAGACGAGCGGGAACGGAGCAACATAGGGTGGGTGGGCAGGACAGGAGAGACGGGACGAGCACGGGAGGGACGGCGAGCCCAAACGTGAGACGGAGGTGTAGGGTCAGGGGACAGCGGAGGAGACACAGGAGGGGAACGAGGAGGAAGACGGGCCGGAGACGAGTCCGGCGGCAGGAACACAGGACCGTAGACAGGAAGGTCAGCAGGCGGTGGGGGAGACACCGTCGCGCGGTCCGGGGAGGGAAGGCCGAGCAGGCGGAGAGCGGAGACCGGCGGCGACGGCTGCTGCGGCGACGACGACGGCTGGGTCGGAACTCTCGGACCAGCAGAGGCAGAACGACCGTCGCCAGAACACTCAACAGCAGCACCCCCAGAACCAACACCCCCAGAGCGAGAACCCCCTCCAACACCAGCGGCACCCCCAGAAGCCGCAGGACGAACACCCTCCTCCACACTAGCACCCCCAGGGGCCAAGAGCGGCGGCGGCGACAGCGGCGACGGCTGCGGCAGCGACGGCGACGGCGGCGGCAGCGGGGTCGGCGACTGCGACAGTGGGGGCGGAGGCACCGCGGAAGGGGGACGCGGCAAGGACGGACCGGGGGTACCACCAGAGTCAGCAGACTCCTCAACGGGGACAACCGACGGGAGGGGAGTGACGTGAGAGACACCAGACGGGGCAGGACGAGGCGGGAGAGGGGCAGGGGCTACCGGGGGAGAGGGAGCAAGGAACAGGGGGGGGGCAACTGGGAGACCTCGGTGAGGGAAGCGGCGGTAGAAGGAGACGGACTCGTCAAAGGTGACGTCACGAGAGTGCAGGAAGCGGTGAGACAGCGGGTGGTAGAAAAGCCAGTCAGACGAGTCCAGGGGGAAACCGAGGAAGACACAGGGGACAGTGTGGGCAGTGAGCTTGTCCGTGCCAGAGGCACGAACGTGAGCAAGGCAGCCCCAGACGTGGAACGCAGACGCGTCACCGGGGGACCCGGTCCAAAGGAGGGTCGGCGAAACCTGCGGCCGCTGGGAGCGTGGCCACAGGTTAAGCTGGTGAGCAGCGTAGCGAACAGCGAACGGCCACAGAAAATGGGGGGCATCGGCATGGATCATGGATGTACGGGCGACCTCCATGACCAAGCCGATGCGGCGCTCAGCAACCCCATTTTGCTGTGGCGAGTCCGGCAACGTGTACGACTAGGTGATGCCCTCCGCACGACAGAACTGTCCAAGCCGACCAGAGGCGAACTCGCCGCCACGGTCGGAGTGGAGACACAACACAGGGAGACCGCGGTGGAGACGCGCAGCCACAACCCACGGGAGAAGAACGTTGGGCACGTCGGCCTTCCGCTCCAAGGGAAACACCGTGGTGTAGCGCGTGTAGTCGTCGACGAGCACAAGGAAGTAGCGCTCACCGCGCGGTCCGGGGACGGGGGCAGGGCCCCAGACGTCCAGGTGCAGGGTCTGAAGGGGGGCAGTAGCAGGGCGCAGCGAGGAGGAGTGAGGAGCACGGCGGAGCCGACCCTCGACGCAAGGCGTGCACGGTGGCGCAGTCGAGGGAGGAAGGGCAGGGAGCGACGCGGGGAGACCTAAGACAAGACCGTGCTGGGACATGTGACGCAGACGCGGGAGAGCAGGGTGACCTAAGCGGTGGTGCCAGAGAAGGGAGGGGTGAGCGAGGGACCGACACGAGCAAGCTGCAGCGACCTGGGAGGACGCACCAACCGGGGGGGAAGCGGTGTCTAGGGTAAACAGACCGGACACCGGGTCCCGGGGGAACGTCGCAAGGGGGGAACCTGAGACAGCCTCAGAACAGACAGCGAACCGCTCGTGCCCGGGGAACGTGGTGGTGACGCCGAGGTCCTGGAGACAGCCGACACCAACCAGGTTCCTCGAGAACGAGGGAACGTGGAGGCCAGTAAGGGAGCCCGAGGGAACTGCCGGACAGGGAAGGGACGTAGAACTGCGCGCGATGACCGGACCCGTAGAGGGGTCAGCGAGAGAGACAACAGCAGGTGCAGCAAGCGGCGTGAGCGTGGAACGGTCGCGGAAGAAGCAGGCAGAAGCACCGGAGTCGAGAGTGAAGGACAGCGACGCAGTGGCGGAGGCCGGGGACGGAGCCGGTGCAGCGACTAGACTAGGCAACCTAGGCAGTCCTACGCCTGACGCAGCAGGGGAGGCTAAGCTACACAAGGGTGCAACACCTAAACTAGAGTACACAGGGTAATAAGATCCAGCAAAACTAGAAGCGTCAGAATACAAAGCATGCAAAGCAGCACCTAGCTGATCCATGTCTAACTCAAAGATCGGCACGCCCTGGCGGAGCAGGCTGTGCCAGTCGGGGAGGTCCGGGGCCGGGCCAAAGCGACGACGAAAGAGATCGTCGAGGCGGCGGAAACAGCGGGCGGTCGGGTGCGGGCGGCGGCACAGAGTGCCGCGAAGAGGCCCGGTCTGAAGCTGGTACTGGCAGGTGACAGCACCGGAGCCGCCGGTAGACGCCAAGCTGCGCGGGCCGCCACCACGGCCACTACCTCCGGAGGTGCCGGGCCAACCAGGCAGGAGACGGGCCCACTGCTGCGGCGACTGCTGCTGGGACGGTAACAGCTGCTGGGGCGGCGGCTGCGGCTGGGGCTGCTCCTGCTGCGGCTGGGGCTGCTGCTCCTGCCCACCAGTGGTAGTCCCCGCAGGCGGACTACCGTCACCACCACTACTGCCACCACCACCCCTACCCCCCTGGCGACCACGGCCACCGCGGCGCGAGCGCTGCTGCGGGTGGACCGCATCAGCCGACTCGGTGAGAGGGGCCGCCGAGGCGACCGCAGCCGAAACGTCAGTGAACGCACACTGGGAGGGGGCACAACCATGAAAGATAGAAACTGCCGGCGCACCGCTCGACTGAGCGATAGTGCGCTGGCGAGTCTCGATCTCGGTGAGGGTGTCGACAAAGGCAGTGAGAGTGAGGTCACCCGGGTGCTGGCTAAGAAAGTGATCGCGAGCACTAGCGAGGCGGTCTGGCAGGCGCATGGCGATAAAATAGAGCGTCATGCAGAAAGGGGGGGGGAGCACAGTGAGCTGAGCAGCAGTGCTGGCAGTGCGATAGCGGGTCTCTAGGGCACGCAGGTGAGTGGCAAAGTCTGCGACGGTAGGGAAAGCTGCAAGGTCTGGGAAAAGCATAGGGAAGAGCAGGCGACCAGCAGAAGCAGACGCGGGTGTGGAATAGCGGGCAATAACAGCGTCTAAGTAAGCTTTGGCCGTCTCAATAGTAGCAAAACGCGAGCGCTCAGAGACAGGGAGGGCGTGGCTAATGGCAACCTGAGCGACTGCATCGCGGGAGTCCCAGACCGCACGGGCAAGCGCAGCAGTAGAGAAGGTCCCATGGTCATCAGAGGAGGGATCAGCAGGGAGGGGAGCAGGTGCGGGGGGACGGGGGAGCAAGCCGTCGACATGGACAACCAAAGAGTGGCCATCCTGGCGCTGACCTGTAAGGTGGCGGCGGAGATCGGAGAGCCAGGCGGCGAAGTCAACCGCATGGCCCTCGGCGTCCAGTCGGAGCACGAAGTCCGCCATCGTGCAGGGTCAGCGGCAGAGCTCCACAGGAACACAGCGACAGCCCCCTCCAGCACGGCGGCCGCGAAGCGCCTCAGCACGGGCGAGCAGAGGAGACGGAGCCCGAGGCGGCACGGCAGGACGAGCCGAGGCGAAGGGGCCAGGCAGGTGCTGGCGGGGCCAGGAAGGCACGGCGGGGCCAGGCAGGCGCGGCGGGGCCAGGCAGGCGCGGCGGGGCCAGGCAGGCGCGGCAGGGCCAGGCAGGCGCGGCGGGGCCAGGCAGGCGCGGCGGGGCCAGGGAGGCGCGGCGGGGGCCAGGCAGGCGCGGTAGGGCCAGGGAGGCGCGACGGGGCCAGGGAGGCGCGGCGGGGCCAGGCAGGCGCGGCGGGGCCAGGGAGGCGCGGCGGGGGCCAGGCAGGCGCGGCAGGGCCAGGGAGGCGCTGCGGGGCCACGCAGACGCGGCGAGGCCAGGCAGGTGCGGCGGGGCCAGGCAGGCGCGACGGGGCCAGGCAGGCGCGACGGGGCCAGGCAGGCGCGACGGGGCCAGGCAGGGCGCGACGGGGCCAGGCAGGCGCGTCAGGGCCAGGCAGGTGCAGCGGGGCCAGGCAGGCGCGGCGGGGCCAGGCAGGCACGACGGGGCCAGGCAGGGCGCGACGGGGCTAGGCAGGGCGCGACGGGGCCAGGCGGGCGCGACGGAGCCAGGCAGGTCGCGACGGAGCCAAGCGGGCGCGACGGGGCCAGGCAGGGCTCGACGGGACCAGGCAGGGCGCGACGAGGCCAGGCAGGGCGCGACGGGGCCAGGCGGGCGCGACGGAGCCAGGCAGGGCGCGACGGGGCCGAGCGGGCGCGACGGGGCCAGGCAGGGCGCAACGGGGCCAGGCGGGCGCGACGGAGCCAGGCAGGGCGCGACGAGGCCGAGCGGGCGCGACGAGGCCAGGCAGGGCGCGACGGGGCTAGGGTGGCGCGACGGGGCTAGGGTGGCGCGACGGGGCCCAGGAGGGGCGCGACGGGGCTAGGAGGCGCGACGGGGCCCAGGAGGGGCGCGACGGGGCTAGGGTGGCGCGACAGGGCTAGGGTGGCGCGATAGGGCCCAGGAGGGGCGCGACGGGACTAGGAGGCGCGACGGGGCCCAGGAGGGGCGCGACAGGGCTAGGGTGGCGCGACGTGGCCCAGGAGGGGGGGCGACGTGGCTGGGAGGCGCGACGAGGCTAGGAGGCGCGACGTGGCCTAGCTAGGGTACGGGCGGAAGCAGTAGGTGGGGGATGCTAACCTACGCGTGATACCATGTTAAAGTGAGAACGAATAATGACTAGAAGTGGAAACCTAGAATAAATACTAGTTGGTTGTACTCACTAGAAGCATACGTCAGTCTAGCCTATAACTTCTACATAGACAATATGTATAAGTTGACATTTATATGCAGACTTCGAGGCATATATTTTCTTCGAACTCCCTCATACTAACTGCGACGGACTCCACATCTGCAAGTTACTTAAACCAGTCTACGGCATCAAACATGCTCCTCGCCTGTGGCAGCAGCATCTTCACAAAGTGCTGATTTCACTCGAATTCGTACAGCTGCCCCACGATCCTAGAATGTACAGACTCAAATTTCAAGGGCATTACATTCTTCTAGTCGCCTACGTGGATGACTTACTGTACACCGACTCATGCAACAGTCTTCTGGCGCGCATGGAGGAAGAATCCAAACGATTTTTGAAGTGAATATTTCCTCCAACGTCACCCAATTTCTTGGGTTAAAGCACAGATCCCAAAACCCCCGAAGTCAAAAACTTAGGTTTTGAGAGGGGAGTTGGGCAAAATCCGCGACACTCACGAAACGCAGCAAAGGAAGTGGGTTGGACACGAGGGGCAATGAAGGCCTCTCGAACAAAGCCCCACCTCGCCCGGCATGAGCAATGTCGCCAGCCCTCCCAGGCGACGAATTGGCACTATGTGACGTCGCCCAACCCACACCAGCACACCCAGCGCCAAAATATGTGGTAAGAACACAAGGGAGCGCGCTATGCTAAAATAGATTGTGCTACGAATATTACACGGCGAGGGGGGAGAAATGAAAGAACTGTGGGAGAAAGGGAGGGGGAGCAATGAAAGCAGGGGGAGAATGGGAGGGGGAGCAATGAAAGCAGGGGGAGGGAATGGGAGGGGGAGCAATGAAAGAAGGGGGAGAGAATGGGAGGGGGAGCAATGAAAGCAGGGGGAGAATGGGAGGGGGAGCAATGAAAGCAGGGGGAGCCAATGGGAGGGGGAGCAATGAAAGCAGGGGGAGAATGGGAGGGGGAGCAATGAAAGCAGGGGGAGAAAATGGGATGGGGAGCAATGAAAGCAGGGGGAGGGACTGGGAGGGGGAGCAATGAAAGCAGGGGGAGAGAATGGGAGTTGGAGCAATGAAAGCAGGGGGAGGGAATGGGAGGGGGAGCAATGAAATCAGGGGGAGAGAATGGGAGGGGGAGCAATGAAAGCAGGGGGAGAATGGGAGGGGGAGCAATGAAAGCAGGGGGAGGGAATGGGAGGGGGAGCAATGAAAGAAGGGGGAGAGAATGGGAGGGGGTGCAATGAAAGCAAAGGGAGAGAATGGGAGGGGGAGCAATGAAAGCAGGGGGAGACAATGGGAGGGGGAGCAATGAAAGCAGGGGGAGAATGGGAGGGAGAGCAATGAAAGCAGGGGGAGACAATGGGAGGGGGGGCAATGAAAGCAGGGGAAGGGACTGGGAGGGGGAGAAATGAAAGTGAGGGGAGAGAATGGGAGGGGAAGCAATGAAAGCAGGGGAGAGAGAATAGGAGGGGGAGCAATGAAAGCAGGGGGAGACAATGGGAGGGGGAGCAATGAAATTAGGGGGAGACAATGGGAGCAGGAGGGAGAAATGAAATAGGGAGAGAGGGAGGGGGAAAAGGAGGATAGGGGGGGAGGAGAAGGGGGAGATGAGAGAGGGGGGAGCGGAGAGGAAGAGAGGGCGAAGCAGAGAGGAAGAGAGGGGGAAATGGAGAGGAAGAGAGGGGGAAGCAGAGAGGAAGAGAGGGGGAAGCGGAGAGGAAGAGAGGGGAAGACGCTGGGATTGAGGGCAATGAGAGGGGCACGGAAGGGCACAAAACTCGCCCTCACTCTCTCTGCCTTTCTCTCGGAAGGCTGCCAGATCCTGCGGGAAAGGAGGGTGGTTGGTTGAGGGAGGACGCCGATAACGAGGGAAAGGCATGGGTGATGGGGACGAGCATGAGTGCAGGGGCAAAGGTCGTCTATCTTTCCCCCTATGGTCCTCTCTCTTTCCCCCTACGGTCCTCTCTCCTTCCCCTTCCCGCCCTCTCTCTCCTTCCCCTTCCCGCCCTCTCTCTCCTTCCCCTATCCACCCTCTATCCTTCCCCTTCCCGCCATCTATCCTTCCTTTTCCCGTCCTCTCTCCTTCCCCTTCCCGCCCTCTCTCTCCTTCCCCTATCCGTCCTCTATCCTTCCCCTTCCCACCCTCTCTCCTTCCCCTTTCTGTCCTCTCTCCTTCCCCTTCCCGTCCTCTCTCTCCTTCCCCTTCCCGTCCTCTCTCATTCCCCTTTGCCACCTCTCTTTCCTTCCCCTATCCGTCATCTATCCTTCCCCTTCCCGCGGCTGCAACTGCGGCTGTGGCGGCTGCGCTGGCGGCTGCGCACGCGCGCGAGCAAGCGGGCAGCAGGCGGGTAGCGGGCGAGCAGCGGGCGGCGAACAGCGGGCGGCAGGCAGCAGACGGCGAGCAGCGTGCGGCGCGCAGCGGGCGGCTAGCAGCGGGCGGCGCGTAGCGGGCGGCGAGCAGCGGACAGTGGGCAGCGCGAGCAGCGGGCAGCACGAGCAGGGGACAGCAGCCAGCGGCAACGGGCAGTGCGAGCGCGAGCAGTGCGAGCAGCGGGCAGCACGGACAGCGGCCCGCGCAAGCAGCAGGAGGGCTGGTCGCGACAGGAAGGGTGGGAGGACGGTACGGCTATAAATCGCATGCTACGGGCAATTTTTTTTGCCAGACAAAGCAGCTCCAAGGCGAGGGTGAGGCGGGAGGGTGCGTGCACTTCTTTGGCACTGCGAATTCGCCGCGCTACGAGAGTATCTACTGGAAATGTTCTTAAAAATGGTTTAGATCTAGTGTGTCTAGTTGCCTGGGCGATCTAGTCCCGAAACTGCTCGATGGTCTAAGTTTTTTAACCTGGGAGGGAAAGGTGGGCGATGGATTAGAGGCGGGATTTTCGTAGGGAGGGGGTGTGTGTGGAGTGGGGGGCAATCAGTGGCGTTCTCGTTGGATTTTGGGCTGTCGCCCAGCAAAACAGGTAACCTTGTGAACGGAGGTTGGATCTCAAAAACTTAGGCTTTGACTTTCGGAGGTTTTGGGATCCGCGCTTTAAACATCGACTGCGCCCCCGATGCCATCTACCTTTCTGCAAGCAAGTACGCAAAAACACTTGCAAAAAAGTTTGTCGACGCTCCTATCAGCCTCACCACTCCATTTCGTCACATTTTGGCCGATCACACTCCTAATACTACCCCATATACCGCCTCCCAGCAACAGCTTTACCAGCAACAGCTCGGGTGTCTTCTATTTGCAGTCGTTATATGCCGCTACATCACGCACAGTACCTGCGCCGACCTGAAGGGGAGAATATGGCCGATCTTCGTCGAGCCCTCCAATATTTCATTTCTACTCCTACAATCGGCATCAGCTACACGACAAACACTGTAGCGAATTTTTGACTGACTGGATACGTTGATGCGGATCACACTGCTGACCCCGACAACAGGCGTTCACGTACAAGGTTCATTTTCAAACTTGAAACAGGTGGTCTCATTTCTTGGAACTCAACAAAACAAGAAGTCATCGCACTTTCATCAGCCGAAGCAGAATTCATCGCAACAAGCTCTGCAGTTCGCGAAGGACTCTATCTTCAAGTGTTACTTCAAGAGGCGAAAATCGTAACGACACGTAACTTCAAGTTACTCTACGACAACCAGAGCACAATCAAGATTGCAAACAAGCCCGGCTTCGTCAACAGGACAAAACACATCGCCCTCCTTTCCTTCTTCGTTAAGGACGAAATCGACAAAGGGAAGGTCATTCTGAAATACTGCCCTACAAAAGAAATGGCAGCAGATTTCGTGACGAAGAAACTCCCACGTGGCAAGTTTCAGTACTGCTCCAACCTGGTTAGAATCTGCAAACGCAGTGAGACTTACCCAGAGACATACACTAAGGAATGAAGGGAAGTGTAGAAGTATACTTGACAGGGAATACAGATGCAATCCTGATATAATACTTAGGCTGTACTTGTAGCGCGATACCTCATATGGAAGGATGCGGGTGATGACGTCAGCAGTAGCGAGTCAGCGCGTGAACAGTAGATTCGCGCGTATAGTCACCCGAAGGGTCACGCCACTCTCAGCCACACGAACAGTCACTAGTCATGTTACGCGAATAGTCGCGTTACACTACGAACAGGTACATTCCGAATAGGTAACTCCTAGACTATAAGTATGCCTGTATTACTCATTATTATGATCCTTGTCATTTTGGACATTTCCAATTCAATATGTAAAGTCTTCCTCTGACTTTTAGTCATGGTTCCACCAGCTCCACATCCTTGCCATACTAAACACGTGATTCACTTCTACATTTGGTTTCACTTTTCGAGGCACTAATATGAACAGTGATTTTCGCATGAACAGTATTTTTCAGTGTGAACAGTGCTATCCACCTTCTGAAATGGCCATCAAGTACAGTAACATTTTCACTACAAAACCAATACTTACGTATCCACAAATGTTGTTGAAAACGAGTATGCATCTTGCCACTCCAATCGTCGATGAATACAGCGAATGGGATGACAGATCAACATACATGTCCCCAACAAGAATGTATGCAACGAACAGAATGAAAGAGTTGTGAATGCCTCAAAATGGGTGCACAAATGCTAATGTGTTGAAGTTGAGATTCACGGGGTACGCTTTGACAGCAATGCTGCCCAGCGACGATGACAATCTCCACTGCAAGCACACGTCATATTGGCACCACACTCTGAAGCAAACACAACCCATGGACACAATGGGATCAGATCTTGCAGGTAGAAACAACACATGATATGACAAGACAGCACCGACAAGAATGCATGCATAAACAACAGAACACACTCATTGATGGAGTTCGCTGACTTCTCGTGGAATACGGACACATGCTCCCGCATGTGACACGAACGACCTCGCGTTTGATGAGCGAGTCTTCACTTCATCGTCCACGTCATTCGACAGTTTCATCGTTACGAAAGATATCCAACAGCCACTAGTCATCATGAACCGCCCACTCGACAGTTATTCACTATTCACAGGCTTCCGCTGGAGTACTTGCCCGTTCGGTCAACTGAAGAATTCGACATCTTTGACGGCTGAGATTAAAAGCGATCGTTTCGACACTTTCTGACCCTTGATCGCAGTTCGATCTCGAGATCTCGTCAGGCCGGTGTTATCATTACGCTCATCAGAGGGCTGAAGACCTACTGTCAATTTGGGGATTCATTTAGATAAAAGGTTTCAACCTTGATATGGGGAGTGCCTTCCTTAGAAGGTGCGAGAGTGTAAGGAATTACGATTCCTTACTGGGGCTCGCTTCAGCGAGTACACGCGAACCCTTCGGGTCCGCAGCCTCGGCCCTCGGTTCTCGCACCAAACCAGCCCCCGCTGACCTGTTCGGCCCCCAAACCTCTTCCCCAGTCGCCCCGAACCCATTTTGACCCCGTCACCCTCAAGACTACCGAGCCCTTGACTGGTCCAAACCTCGACATTCAACCCTGGTCAACACACCTATACAATCCCTAGGCCGCATTTGTATGGACACGTTGTAATCACTTTCCCCTTCTAGAATACTGTTCTACACTCTGAGTTATATTTCATAACACAATACAATATCACAGTGGACAAGAATAAAGTTTTTAAAGCTACCAGAATTGGAGATGTGAAATCGGGGTTACGACAATCAAGAACCAACTGTTAGAAAAAGAAAGGTTGAGTTTGTTAATGAAGCAAAGGCATTACATAGGAAGAGAGAGATGAGCTAGGAAGGGAAGGTTGGAAGGGAAGGGGGGGTTAGGACCAATCACAAGGGAGGGAGGATCCTTCCAAATGTGGTTGACCACAAGTGGGAGGTGGTCCAAGTATGGTGGACCACAAGTGGCTTAAGCAACCCACTTGTGGTGCCCCCACAATTGTTGTCCTTGTGTTTGGGGGCTCCAACCACAATTGGGTTGGATTGACACCCCAACACTGGTGTACACCCAACTAGGGATGTAAACACAATATACACAACTAGCATAGCATGGTATATTCTAACACAACCCCATAGCATGCAAAGCTAGTGTATATGTAGGGTACAACCCCAGAATCAGGAAGGGGGGCGGGGCCCAAGGCCGAGAAGGCGGAGGAGGGCAGAGTGCGCGGTCTCCGGGAGGGCCTTGGTAAAGATGTCGGCCAAGTTGGCCTCTGCAGCGATCTTGCGGACCACCAAGTGACCTTACTTGACTGACTCCCGAACGAAGAAGTGTCGGAGTTCAATGTGCTTGGAGCAGCCATGGAAGACAGGGTCCTTTGTGAGATGGATGGTGCTGGCGTTGTCGCACCAGAGAGTGGGACAGCGCTGAGGAGCACCGATCTCAGCAAGGAGGAAGGTGAGCCAGCGAGCCTCCTGAGTGGCCATGGTGCAAGCATAGAGCTCAGCCTCGCTGGATGAGAGGGCAATGGAGGAGGAGCGAGTAGAGCGCCAGCTGATCAGGCCGCTGCCAAGGATGAAGCCGTAGCCTTGAGAGGAACGGCGATCGGGCTGGGAGTCAGCGCAGGAGGAGTCACTGAAGCCAGAGAGGAGGGGAGGAGAAGAGCCTTCGAGGGTGAGGACATAGTCCTTGGTACCACGGAGGTAGCGGATTACCCGCTTCGTTGGAGCCCAGTGCTCATCAGTGTGGCGACCGGTACCGACGAAGCGAGCAAGAACACTGATGGGGTAGGCAAGGTCGGGGCGGGTGCACATCATAGCGTACATCAGCGAACCGACGAGCTCAGCGTAAGGATGGTCAGAGGAGGAGGGAGCAGGAGGAGGGGCAAGCTGGTGGTCGGTCTTCAGGGGAGTGGTAATCGGCTTGGTCTGTGCCATATCGAACCGCTGCAAGTCTTGGTCGATGTAGAATGACTGAGAGAGGGTAATGGTGCGCGATGTGCAGTCCCGGGTGATGGTCATGCCAAGATAGTGCTGGAGCTCACCCAGCGCCCTTCACTTGCTGCATGGTGGCAGCATCGTCAGCGAACAGGATCATGTCGTCGACATACACCAGGATGAAGAAGCGGGTGGGAGAGGAGCGAAGGAAAAGGCTGGCATCAGACTGAAAAACATGGAACCCTAGGGACTGCAGAGTGGCGGCCAGCTTGTTGCGCCATTCGTGAGGAGCCTGCTTGAGGCCATAAACTGGGCGGCGCAACTCCCAGACTGTGCTGGGAGGGAAGGCTGCATGAAAGCCTAGAGGCCGCCGCAAGAGGACCCACTCCTAGAGCTCGCCTTGCAGGAAGGCGTTGGAGACATCCATGGAGGCAATCTCCATGCCAATGCAAACAGCATAGTCAAGGATGGCACGGAGAGTTGGGAGGTTGGCAGTGGGAGAGAATGTCTCCCAGTAGTCGATGCCATGGATCTGGGTGAAGCCCTTGGCACAATACCAGGCCTTGTAGACCGGCTCCTCACCCGGCAGCTGCTTCACTCGGAACACCCACAGGCCTTCAACAATGACGTCGTCAGGAGAAGGGACAATGTCAACGAATGAGGCATTACGGATGAAGGCCTCGCATTCAGCAAAGATAGCCTGAATCCACTTGGCAGCATCGGGGCAGGTGATGGCCTCAAGGAAGTTGGACGGGGTGAATATGGTGGGAGCGGTAGCGATGCCAAGGATGAGGAGGCCAAGGAAGCCCGGGTAGAGAGGCGTGAGGGAAGGTGTTTGTTGCTGAACGCCAATGAGCTCCTCATGGGAGTCCTCAATGAAGGGAAAGGAGGGTGGGGGTGGCGTTGGCCAACCCCATGGATGGCCTATGAGTGGGCCATAAGAGCGAGTGTGGATGCGTGGGAGGATGAACGGAGAGGTGGTGCGGCGATGCCGATGAGGTTGCTGCTGCTGCTGCTGCTCCTTCTCCAGCTGCTGCTGCTGCTGCACCTCCTGCTGCGGCTGCTGTTGCTGCACTGCCTGAGATTGCTGCTGCTGCTGCTGCTCCATCCGCTGCTGCTGCTGCTCCATCTGCAGCTGCTGCTGCACCTCCTGCTGCTGCTACTGCTGCTGCTGCTGCTCCATCCGCTGCTGCTGCTGCACCTGCTACAGCTGCTGCTGCTGCACCTGCTGCAGCTGCTGCTGCTGCACCTGCTGCAGCTGCTGCTGCTGCACCTGCTGCAGCTGCTGCTACTGCACCTGCTGCAGCTTCTGCTGCTGCTGCTGGTGCTGGTGCGATGAGGCGGAGTGAGCAGGGGAGTTAGGGACAGCTGGGTCGTAAATGTCACCTTAGGAAGGAGGAGGGGGAGGAGCAGGATTTGGAGGAAGGAGGGGAGCCTAGGGAAGGAGTGGGGGAATGACAGCATCAGCCCAGGTGAGGGGGCGGGAGAGAGGAGGAAGTGGGTCGGAAAGCGGAACAGAATGATAGAACGGGATGCTCTCATCGAACACCACGTCACGGCTCTGTAGGAGGCAGCCTGAGGACGGGTGAAGGAAGAGGTAACCAGGGGCAGAGCGAGCGTGGCCAAGGTAGACACACTCAATGGCCTTGGAGGCGAGCTTTCCTGCCTGCCTAGAGCGGTCTGGTGGGGGGATGAGGACATATGCCTTGCAACCCCAGATACGGAGAATGGCAGCATCTGGCTTGGTGCTAGCCCAGAGCTCTGTGGGAGTGACAGACTGGCGTTGAGGATGTGGGTAAAGATTAGTGAGGAGAGCAGCATGGACAAAGGCATAGCCCCAAAGAGAAGGGGGCGTGGAGGCATGAGTGAGGACGCAGCGGACCGTCTTGGTGATCCCACGAATGCGACTCTCAGCAACACCGTTCTGCTGAGGGGAGTGGGGAAGGGTATGAGTCTGCTAGATGCCATGGGTTGAGCAGTAGGAGGAGAGGGTGCGGTTGAGAAACTCACCACCGCCGTCGGAATGGAGGTGGCGGATGGGGCGACCAAAGTGGACACGGCACTGCTCGGCCTGGGTAACGATGACAGCAGGGGCCTCGGCCTTTGTGTGGAGAAGGAACACCGGGGAGTACCTGCTGTGGTCGTCGACTAGGACAAGCATGTACCGGTGCCCTTGGCGGGAAGGGGAAGGATTAGGGCCCCAGAGGTCCATGTGGACGAGGTCAAGGGGGGCAGCAGCAAAGGAAGGATGACTGAGGTGAGGTTGTTGTTTGAGCTTTCCATGAATGCATGTGGTGCATGGGGGAGCGGAAGAGGACGGGAGGGGAGGAAGAGTGGGGGGAAGACCGTCAAGCAAGCGGGAAGAGACAGCTTTACGACGTGTGGAAAAGGTCATATGACCAAGGCAATGGTGGATGAGAACAGCGGGGTGGGACAGTGCGCGACAAGAGCATAGGGGGGAGGTGGAGTTGGAGGAAGGTGGCTCTAGAAAGAGGGGAGGGGGGAGAGTGGAGGTGCCTGCACGAGGGGCCACGTGGCATGAGGAGGGGCTGGGTGTGCTGAGGATGTACTGACGAGAGCGAGGGCAAAGTGGGAGGCGATGAAGGAGGCGACGAGTGGGGCTGTGGAGGAGGTTACAGTAGGTGGCAGAGGCGGGGAAGAGGGTAGTGATGCCAGCCTGTTGGAGTTCACGGATGGAGAGGAGGTTATGACGAAGGGAGGGAATGTGGAGACCAGTGACCACTCCGGAGGGGAAGGGGGGGCAGGGGAGGGTGGAGAGATGAGTGCAAGGGACGGAGAAGCTGGAATCAGCGCCATGAACGTTGGTGGGGAAAGGGAGGGAGGTGAGGGTGCCGGCGTCTTTGAGGGCAATTTCAGTGGCACCACTATCGAGAACAAAGTCTATCCTGAGCTCCAGAGGGGAAAGCCAGGAGGACATTTTGTGGCTGTGGCAGCCATGGCGGCGGTGCCAAGGCCAAGCTGCTGCTGCTGCCATGCAGATGCTCCGGCTGCGGCTCCTGCAGCTGCGGCTGCAGCCTGACCACCAGAGCCCCACTGCTGCTGCTGCAGTTGCTAGTGCAGTTGCAGCTGCTGGAAGTGGCGAAATTGCTGCAGCTCCTGGGGAGTTATGGGGTTAGCGACAGAGGAGGAGGAGGAGGAGAGCTGACGATGAGAGGGGAGGAAAGACGGAAGAGTTTTGACATCCTGGAGAGAGGGGCGGGGATCCATGGCAGACCAGCGTGGGGATGTGCCAGTGTTGCCGCGCTCGAACCAGGCATCATCATACGCCTTGAAGCAGGTCGTTGGGGGATGGTTGGTTTGGGTGCAGCGCTCACCTGCCCTGGGACCAAAACGGCGAAGATAGCAACATGGGGGGAGAGTGCCAGGCCGGCCACCACGGCTACCAGATGAGCCACCACTGCCACCACCACCACCACTGCTGCCACCCTCGACCCCGCCACCACCGCCGCTGGCTCCATTGCCCCCACAACTGCCACCTCCACCCCCTCCCTGAGGGTTGGTGCGGCCGCCACGTGGGCGCCCTCCACGACGCGGCTGTGCGACTGCAAGCTGGGGGTTTTGAGACTCGGTGGAGTTCAAGCCGGAGGGGGGGGTTGAGAGAAGGCGGGCCTCAGCGTCAATGATCCACTGGACCACAGTGTCAAGGGAGGCACGGGGCTGAGCCTCAGTGAAGGCGATGACGCGCACTTCATACTGAGGGGAGAGGCCTTCGAGGAGACGGTAGATCTGGAGGTTGGAGGGGAGAGTAGTCTGGCGAGCCTCTAGGCGGGAGGCAAGGTCCAGGAGATGGCTGGTGTAGTCAACGGCGCCAGCACTATGTTCGATCGTGATGCTGAAGTATTCCTTGAAGAGCGGTCCGACAGCGTCGAAGTCGGTGCGTTCGAACATCGCCTCAAGCTCGAGCCAGATCTGGCGGGAGCCGATGCGACGTGCCTGGAAGTTGCGCATGAGCGCAGGCGGGATGGCAAGGAGAAGGGCACCAGTAGCACGGCTGTCCGCCTCGAGCCAAGCGCGATGACGCTCGGCAAATCGCGCAGAGTCAGCGGCATAAGCAGCGGCGGTAGTGGCATGCTGGTTGCGGAGGGTGGCCGGCCCCTTGTGTTCCTCCAAAGCAATCAGGTAATCAGTATGGAGCATGAGGAACTCACGACGCTGAGTAACGAAGAGCTGCTCAACCTCAGCGGTGGCAGCGCGAGTGCTGGTGCCAACGGGTACCACGGGGGGCAGAGGTTCCTCGCCGGGATGGGGAATGAGAGGGGGGGGATCGCCAGGGTGAGGCGGCGGGTCCCCAAGGTCACCCTCTGGGAGACCAAGCATGATGTCCAGGAGGCGGAACGGCAGGACATATGCACTGCCGAGGACGCGGTGGAGGCTGCTGACGAAGGAATACCCGTTGGTTGCTGAGTTGTCGGCAGCACGCACCAAATGATCGAGGGTCGAGACGTCGACAGGAGGGGGAAAGGATGCCATTTGTGACACGGAGTGGGAGGAAGGCGACGGCGGGTGGACCCGTGGTGACCGGGAGGGAGCGGCGGCGGGTGGACCCGCGGCGGCTCAAAGAGGAGGGGAGGATGGGGATGGCTGTAGCTACTGCTGCTGCTCCTACTACTGCTGCTGCTGCTGCTGCCGCTGCTGCTGCTGCTGCTGCCGCTGCAGCTGCTGCTGCTGCCGCTGCAGCTGCTGCTGCTGTCGCTGCTGCTGCTGCTGCTACTGCTGCCGCTGCTGCTGCTGCGTCTGCTGCTCCTTCTGCTGCTGCTGCTGCTGCTGCTGCTGCTGCGTTTGCTGCTCCTTCTGGTGCTGCTGCTACTAACTGATGGTAGTTAGCTGATGGATAAAGATGGTAGTTAGCTCATGAAAGTAGGACTTGGTGGAAATTTCAGTAGCACTTCGTGATCACATCCAAAAAAGTGCGCGAACTTCGGAAAGCGATATCCGACAATCCAATTGGTGAAACAGTCTGAAATTTTACAACGTAGTAGCTGACACCAAGAGCGTTCTTTTGCAAGTCGAATCTTTCAGTTCTGTCAACTAGGGAGCGAGCTATGTCGTTTGGCGCACTGGGGGTGTTGAAAATCCACCCAACAGAAAACTAGTTGTGAAGGGAAAGAGAGGCGGCGGCTAGGAATCTAGCAGTGGCGATGGAGGGGACGGCAATAAGGTGTACGTCGGAAGGGGACGGGGCGGAAGCGTGGGGAAGGATCGGGATTATAAGTTGGCGTGAGCCATTATTGCTCTATACCATGTTAGAACTGTAGAAGAAGCCAAATTTATCCAGCCTTTCAGCACCGGCCGTTGTGTTAACCCTGCGCCAACGATTCATCTTTCGCCCGCCTTCTTCCTTCACTCTGACTTGTACCTGCGTTCAAAATGACACATGACTACAACAGAAATCTGGCACAAGCGGTTAGGTTATCCCTCGCCATAAGCTTTGAACAACTCCATTAACACCTCAGTTTTCGAGAAGGACGAACTCCTTTTAACCAACGGCCAAAAGCTTCGACCTAGCAGTCGTCAACTACCCTGCACTAGGCTTGAGCAAAACCGGGTAATTACCCGACCCGACCCGGTTTTGCAATACCCGACCTCGGGTCGGGTAATTTCGGGTCGGGTAATTTCGGGTCCGGGTCGGGTAATATGCCCAGGACCCTTACCCGGACCCGGCCTTAAGGGGACGGGTAATACAATACCCGCCTGGCGGGTCCGGGTATACCCGACCCGGTTACCCTGAAAAGCGGGTAATACTACCCGCCACCTACTAGTGGGCATCCTAAAGTTGGGCTAGGCTAGGTAGGGTTCCTGAAAACGCGACTCTCAAATGAGAGTCGCGTTTTCTGGGGGTCGAATTTTGACCACCCAACTCCCTCCCTTTCACCGCACTGAACTCCTCCCCGTCTACAAACTCCAATTTCCAACCAAACTCCCTCCCATTCACCGCACTGAACTCCTCCCTGTCTACAAACTCCAACCTTTCCAACAAAACTCCCTCCCTTTCACCGCACTGAACTCCTACCCATCTACAAACTCCAACCTCTTCTCCAACTCCCACCCAACTCCCTCCCTTTCACCGCACTGCACTCCTACCCATCTACAAACTCCAACCTCTTCTTTAACAACCCACCCAACTCCCTCCCTTTCACCGCACTGAACTCCTACCCATCTACAAACTCCAACCTCTTCTCCAACTCCCACCCAACTCCCTCCCTTTCACCGCACTGAACTCCTACCCATCTACAAACTCCAACCTTTTCTCCAACTCCCACCCAACTCCCTCCCTTTCACCGCAGTTAACTCCTCCCCATCTACAAACTCCAACATCTCACAAATGCTCCACTCGTCCCCTCTCACCTCCAAAACCGTTTTGCCCCAAAACCTAAAACACAGCGTGACTTACGCCCATGTCTAGGTGGAATACCCGACCTCGGGTATTTTTTTACCCGACCGGGTCGGGTACCCGTTACCCGACACGTCGGGTAGCATTTCGGGTAGCGGGTATTGATACCCGGCCCGGGTAACCCGGACCCGACCCGCCGGGTAATTTTCAGGATTTCCGATACCCGACCCGCCCTAAAAGCGGGTCCGGGTACCGGGTACCCGACCCGGTCGGGTAGTTTGCTCAACCCTACCCTGCACCATCTGCCCCGGTGGTCACCTAAGTCATGCTCCGTTCCCGTCGCTCTTTCCAAGTGCTACTAAGTACTCACCCATGGACGTCGTCTTCAGCGACATACTATTCATGCAGCAGGAAGCAGAGGATATCAGCGGCAACGATTACCGCTATATCATTACCTTCATCGGCGGTGCTACTCCATATGTCTGGCACAAGAATATCTCTCACAAGTCTGAAGCTCTCGACGCCTTCAAGCTATGGCTGAAAATCGCGGAGCGACGGAGTGGCATCAAGCTCAAAGAGATCCAGACAGACAATGCGGGCGAGTACACTAGCGAGCAGTTCGATGAATTTATGGCACGAAAAGGAGATACTCAGGTGCAAGACTGTGCCTTATGCCAATCAGCGGAATGGAGTAGCTGAGAGAACTAACAAAACACTGCAAGAGATGGTGCACGTGCTGCAGCAACAGTCCAGCTTGACAACAGACTTTTGGCCGTTTGCGATGGTGCAAGCTGTCTGCCTTCACAACTGCTTGTCTTCAATCGCTCTCCCTCGATTCAGCTCGCCACACGTCATGTGGACAAAACAACCCGCCGACACTCGACTATTACGAGTTTGGGGCTGCATGGTCCAGTACAGACCTCCGAGCACAACTGTGGGCAGGTTTACTGAACGGGCTCAATGGGGAATACAGTTTGGTGTACCCAAGGAATCCTATTCTTGGATAATTATGGATTACGAAACCCGAACGGTTTTGTATGCCTCAGACTGCATCTTCTACGAGAAACTTTTTCTCGATGACTTCGAACGTGACAAGGAATGCCAGCAGCGCAATTCTGATTGCTATAGTGCCGAACTTGCTGTCGTAGTGCAACAGCCAACGACCTGGATCGAGTCGAAATTAGTCAAGCAGGCCTTCTCCGGCTCTGATGCTGACAAGTGGCGAGCAGCTATGGATGCAGAGGTTGCAGCTCTCGAGAAGCGGAAAACATGGAAACTCGTTCCACGCGAAGCAGCACGCAGCAAGAAAATTCTTTCGGGCAAGTGGGTCTTTCGCATAAAGACAAATGCAGCAGGCGAACTAGACAGATTCAAGGGGAGATGGGACGTATAAGGTTTCGAACAAACCCAAGGCATCGATTACGACCAGACTTTTGCTCCAATGAGCCGTCATACCTCATTTAGAATTCTTCTCACCATTGCTGCCGGCCGCCAACTTCCACTTCGCCGACTGAAGTGGCAGGAATCAAGCGCCGTCTGTCTGATGTGCGCCAATGAGCAGCTGGGGGTTGCTAAATGCACCAATTGCATCTTGATGCTTACCCGTACAGTATTGGTCTCACGCCATGCACCACGTCGTCTACATGCACAACCTTTTCTCGACCAGAGCAAACAAAAACAACAAATCTCCTCATTAGAAGTGGACCGCCATACCTGGCGGCGTCTCGATGCTCCAAGTGTGGGGATGCATGGTTCAATACTGTCCCCACACAACCATAACAAGCAAATTTGCTAGTCGTGCATGCTAGGGAAGTCGCCTCGGAATCTTCCTGGAGTATAAAGCCTGGAACATCCTGTACTCCATGTTTGTCCTAGGCCAAGATGTGCTCTTCTATGAATGCCCACTGGAGTTATTCCGAGTCGACCAAGCCATCGGCAATGCCATCTCATACGGCCATGAGGAGCGCAGCTTCACCACCACAGCCAAAAATATAACCGCAACAAAACTCGACCGCGACCTCCCTCCAAACTGACACCCAGATCCTACCCCACGTCTAAAAAATGCCAACTTCGCGTGCGATTTTTGCGGGGTGCCGGGTCATCAAATCTTTGACTCCAACAAAATGAAGGCCGCACGTGCAGAGTATCAGACTTCGCCGAATCATAAATAAAAAGGCAGGAATTGCCTGTGATTGCAGATCTAGCTGGTGGAAAAGAAGGGATCCAAAAGCGGTTACGTGATTCCATAAAAAACAACTTCTACGAGGCTAATTTGACGCGAGCATGAGGAAAAGATGGGGGAAAATCTCCAACCCACGACCAGTTTTTGCCATGGAAAATCGCCGAGAAAAAAACTGACTCGGCGAAAAAAGGCACTACCGTGAAGGGGAAACTCCTAGAGGACCGAAGAAATTTTGAGGATTCGTTAAATTTGCCTTATAAAGATGCTTTAATGAAAACGTATAATTCTTGAGGGGCTAGAGCCTTGGAGAAATTTCGGGAGGGACTCCAGAAGAAGCAAAAAAATCTGGAGATTGTACAGAGAACTTGGGGAAAAAAATTATTGAGTGTGGAAAGGAGCCGACCTTTCCACGGAGTCAACGTCCTCTCCTGACACCAGCCCACACTAACTACATGTTCTCCAGGGAAGACGTCGGTGGAGCTGAAGCAGCTCAAGAGGAATCTCGGGATCTACAAGAAGCTACAAAAGCCCCAAACTCCTCCAGATGCATCCAGCTCAGCAACTTCGGCATCAACGATACGCACAGTAGTTAAGGAAACTCCGAGCCCTCGAGAAGAGCCTTTCTCCAAGCAGCCTCGGCCAGCTGCCAGCTTTGTAGTAGATAGCAATGAAAAGGTGTGTACGGAATATTGAGATGTACCCTATGATCCTATTAATGAAACTATCTTTGGGTACTCTGAGCAACAAATGCCCCTCGTGCTCGAGGTCATCTACAAAGGACGACGCCTCCAAGCACTTATGGATGGCAGAGCGTCACACACCGTATGCAATAAGGCAGCAATCGACAGACTTCGGGAAGAGTGCAAGCCTTCAGCATTCTCTGCAACGATGGTGGAGGGCAACAAGTTACCAGTCTACGACGAAACCGTGTTACACCTACAAATCGGACCACTGCGCTGGAAACCTGCCCTCCCCATCACCAACATAAAAGGACTTGAGTTGATTTTTGGGAGAGACTTCCTTAATAAGTTCAACCCAAAAATCAACCGGGTCAACCAGACTGCAAGCATCTACAATAACCGAAGGAGAGTCCACCTACCAAACTGGAACGACACAGAGAGATTCTTGGAGAGACACTTGCCAGATTCGAGAAGGACGTGAAATGAACCGACACCGGGCTCCTGGCGATAGCAACAGATGCAGAAGATGACGGAAAGAAAGCCTCAAAACCTCCTGGAAGAACAAAGGGATAGAAGATTGTGGAGGAACCAGGTTTGAAGCCGACCTTCCGAGCACCATACCGGCTCAGCCCTACAGAACTAGCCGATATAAAAACTGATCGAGTATTTTGTTGAAAAAGGACTCATCCAACCATCTACCTCACCGTACGGTGCCCCAGTACTCTTCACACCAAAACCAAATGGAAGTGTGCGCATGTGCATCGAGTGCCGAGCTCTTAACAGGCAGACCATCAAGAACAAAAACCCGATTCCACGAATCGATGACCTGCTTAAACAGCTTCGGGGAGCCACGGTATATTCCAAACTAGATTTACGGTCCGGATACTGGCAAAAGAGAATGCCAGACAACTCCATCCACAAAACTGCCTTCCGAAATTGGTACGGGTTGTACGAGTATTTGGCCATACCATTCGGACTCACCAACCGCACCGGCAACCTTCCAAGCCGAGTTGAACCACATTCTACGCCCACTCTTGGACAAATGCGTGGTAGTGTATCTGAACGACGTTCTCATCTACTCGTGCGACATGAAACAGCACGTCGAACACGTGTAACGCATCCTCGAAATTCTTCGACGGGAACGTTTCTACGCCAAATTATCCAAGAGCGAATTCGCCCTCAATAAGGTCCAATTCCTAGGACACATGGTTAGTGTGGACTTCATAACCGGGTTACCAACTACCACTAACGGTCATAACGCAATCCTTGTCGTCATTGACAGATTCTCCAAAATGGGGCACTTCATCTCGACACACACGACAGCCCGCACCGAGGAGACGGCACAACTGTTCGTTTGCTACATCATCTTTCCGCAAGGCACTCAACTCACACTCATTTCTCACCAGGACCCTAGGTTCACTAGCAAGTTTTGGAAGGAACCGATTTCTCTGCTCGGGACCAAACTCACCATGTCATCTGCATACCATCTACAAACAGACGGGCAAAGCAAACACCTCAACCGAATTATAGAGCAACTCCTCCGTGCCGCATGCAAGGACGACATCTCCAAATGGGACTCGCATCTGCCCATCCTGGACTTTGCCTACAACAATGCTGCCCATGCTTCCTCTGTTATGGATGGACACCATCCTTCCTCTGTTACGGATGCAACCCCCTGACATCACAAGAAGCAACAGCACTAGCAACAGTTCAACCCACACATGATTTCATCACCATCCATCGCAATGACCACACCATCACCATGGGAGACCGTGTTCTGCTCGACACCCGCAATCTCGACATCAGTCATCTCCCACCAAAAATTCGACCTCACTTCTGCGGGCCCTTTCTTGTTGAAGCACAAGTCACCCCCATAACCTTCTGCTTAAGCCTGCCAGCTACTTGGAAAATTCACAACGCCTTCCATGTCCAACTTCTGAAGCCCTACAGAGATCCCAACCTGATCTTCACTGGAC